AAATATGTCAATTTTATATAATTTTATACAACAATATATATAATTATTTATAAAAATATATATAATATTTTTTTCCAGGAATATGTAATTTGTGAACTTGACAATTTGATAATAAAAAAAAATAGCGTCATTAGTGTAAATCGATTCCGCGATAATTAAAAATGCTTGCTAAATATGGGCTATATTTGGTCGTTTTCGATTATCTTACGATTTGTCAAACGACAAAATGTCAACAAGAGACGATAAGACGGACAGAAAATTTGTTACTTTTGCGAAAAACGTCACATTTCCGTGCGTCCGTCTCTTACGATTCTCGGTGATAACGTGATTGTCTTGTCGGTGCGTTAACGACATGTGATCACTAATGTAACGTGTGCAGTGGTCATTGTCAAGGTCACTTCACGTATCTTGCATAATGTATGCTTACTGCACTCGTGTACAAACACAGTTCAATTCCGAATCAGCGAGTACACAAACAGACGATCGGCTTGAATTTACTTGTCACTTTTGATTTATTCATATTTGAATATATGTACGTTAAATCTTCATAATTTATGTCATAATAACATCCGACAATCACGAACATTTTGAAATTATTTATTATTCAATTCCGATAGCGCGATATTGCGACGTTATTCACACATTTTTTCACTCTCCAGTTTGACGGATACTTTCAATTAAATGTATGACAGGATTGATAATGACAAAAGATAATATTTTTTTTAAAGAACAAAGCATTATGTTTTTTTAAGCATGTTTTCAATGCTTCATACACAAACAGCTTAAAAAATATGTTTAAAACATGTTAAGAACAACGATTAAACATGTTAATTAAATATGTTTAAAACATGATTTTTACCAACCCTGATGTTCAAAAATAAAATAATATAATGCGTCATTATAACGTATTTAATGTACTCATTTTTAATTTTAAAATCTATTACTACACTTGCGATTTTTCGTGTAAGTCACCTTCCATATCGTTTTTTTTTTTACCTATATACGTTATATCTATATGGATTATCTCAAAATTCGTGACTTAAAAAATGTTAGCAAGATAATTATTGATAAATATTTATTTTAAAACTAATTTTTAAGATAGTAAAGATCTAAATATAACCTATTGCAGACTGTTTAGATAGTCACGTTAGATAGACACATGATCGCATATTAGTGAACGCTGATAAACGCGTTCAAGAATCGTCACATCCAAGGAAACGAAAATCAAAAATTAAAATGACATTATTTTGATTTTTAATGTCAATAAACAGTCAAATTTTGTAACCAAAATCATTAGTTTGACTTTCATGACGTCAAAATAATCATTTTAAAAAAAGTCATTTTCTCTCGACTTGATGTATTTCTTATCAAATTTTTGCAAATAATTATCTAAACGTAGTCTGTAATTAGCCATATTTAAACTCTTATATCATCTCAGAAAACTATTAAAATAAAGATTTACAAAGAACTTTTTTTATTTAATTTTTTAAAAACTTTCTTACATATATTTTGAGTTACCCTGCGAATTTTGAAACATCTTGTATATGTATAAAAGTTAAAATGTAAAAACTTATTAAAGAATAATTTATTAACTTATTAAAGAATAATTAAAAAGAAGGATAAGATATTCTCGCTTAAGATTTTTTTAAATTTTATGACCTTTTACGGATATTAAACTTATAAGGAGCAATTTAAACAATGGAGTGGGAATATTGCGTAAAAAATTGTCGTTTTCTCGTTTTTTATTATCGAAAAACAATAATGCAGGATAGTAATACAAAATTGCAAAATGGCTCAGGATTTTTTGACTCAGTTTTTGATTAGGAATAGTGCTCTATGATTAGTGAGTGTTTTTTAAGATACACTCTATATACATATGATAATTGTATTAAAATCACTATTTAAAAAATTTTTCCTTATTGATTATTAATTATATATACATAGAGAGAATCCGTGATGTAACCGCATATTTCCTTTCATTAACTTCATCGCGATATTTCCGTCTTGTCTTTCATCCCACAAATCGACTTCTAATTTAATGACTTCGCTGAATGCTTGACTGACTCTCAGCGAAAGTTTACAGTTCGATGCACGAGTTCGATAGCATTTTACTGCGAATCTCGTATAACAAATCGCGTCTGCGGAATGACTCTGCAACAGAGTTGTTTTTTAAAAATTAGTTGATGTTTAGTTTAACATGAGAAAGCAAGATCATCGATCTATCAAAGCTTGAGCACCTTGACGAATGCAGAATACATGTGATGGTAAAATTAATCGATTAAATATAATATTTGATAAGTGCTCAATTATATAATTTTCTTCGCCTACGAAGAAATTGCCTGGAAATTGTGCAATTGGAAGAAAATTTATTGTCAGTGACTATTACGAAATTTGTAAAACAAAAAGTGCATACCTATGTCTAATGATATGTACACTCAATCAATTATCATACTTTATTTTTTTTGGATAATATAACTCATTAGCTTTGATTGTAAGCCTTGCTAATCGCATTATGGCAAGCTGAATCATTGATTACATCTTATGTGTGCGTATTCTTATGAATTAAAAATGGAGTATAATAAACTTGTTACATATGTATGAATTTCAGCGTGCATACATTAAATGTAATAGTTATAAACAATTTACTAAAATTACTAAAATCATTCACATAATAAACACACAATTGCGTTTATGAGATAATGGAACTGTTCATAATCATAATTATGTATTTTTCTATGCAACAGTTGCGGATCCTCGGGAGCAATTTGCCTAAGACGAGCTTTAATTACAAGAATAATTGCAATTATTCTTGTAATTAAAGCTCGTCTTAGGCAAATTGCTCCCGAGGATCCGCAACCGTTGCATGGAAAAATACATTCAGGAGCACGTGTGTGATGTGACGCGCCTTATTATATGACTCTGCTGTTGCGCGCGCGTGCTCTTCTCACCCCGTTATTATATCATAATTATATAACGATACATAATACTAAGACGTGATACATGTGATGTCGGAATCGTTTTATCCTTCGACACATGCAAACCGATTCCGATCTTCTTTGCAAATCTTCCTTTTCTTCAGGAATGTTTAAAAATCAATTATCAATTATTATAATCAACAAAGTGTGTATATATACATTTGTGTATACATATACACATATATATATAGAAATTTTTCTGCCCATAACAGCTTTTTTTAAGCGATTACGAAATGATGGAATTTAAATACATTCGCAATGTGCGAAATTTGTCCTCTGTTATTATTCCTCTTTATGTCCTCTATTATTTATGCAGCGAATTATCGTAATTAAAATTTGAACAAATTGCTACATTATACAAATTTACCATAAATTTACCATAAATAATGCGATTAGTAATCGCATA